ATTAATTATTTATATTTCGTTTTCTCATTTTTTTTAATTTTTTTGCACTGGAGCAACACTGTGCAACGGCTCTTTTACACGCACCTCCTCTTTTATAACCAGATATTTTCTCCCGTGGTTTTGGAAATTTGTATGAATTTGAATTTCATTACTCAACATTTTTGCCAAATTCAAGTTCAGTGATTTTTGGGATGCTTTTGTCCATATGGAAAGTGACATACTTATAAACATGCAAATGTACGTAGGCACCTATATCCGGGAAATTTTATTCGCCTTACCAATTCATATACTAGAATAATTAATTTAGACGCCAATGAGTGACTAATACACTAAAGAATGTCGAATATGCTAAGCTATGAATGTATTGGTTTAACAAATTTGAAATAAATATAGGTACCCAACATGCTTTCATTTTTCTCTACAAAAGCAGGCAAACATTCATCTCGTATTTTTCCAACATTATTTTGATTTTTTTACAAGTTATGTACTTGCCCACAAACATACTCACATACATACATTTGTATATAGCAACTACTCATCATAATATAATTTTTTCCTTTACTATCTTTCGTTCTCGTTTTTTCGTAACCATAACCATTTTTGACGAAAGATTTTTTTCATTACGAACCGTATTGAAATCGGCTCGTTTCTTTTCCATATTTGTGCTTTTCGTCTTCTCTATACCTCTTCGTTGTTTTTATTTAATTTAAAAATGTTGGTGTTTTTATGTTTGACTTGGCGTTGATATTTTGAATACGATTTTCGGTGGTGGTTGGTTGGTTGGCTGGATGGCCAGGCCAGTATCAGAGGAGACGAGGTATGTTTTTTTCGTACTGTTGTTGATTGGTTTCGAAGTTTTCTCAAAATATTTCAGTTGGCGTACGTTGTTCATCGTTGTCGGTAGGTCTTTTTTCAACCACTTTAATTTTGAGATAAAAAATTACAAAAAAAAATATGCAGGCATTTTGAAAAAAATTAAAAAATCTATCAAAGTGTTTGAAATTAAATTGTAGGTGGGTACTACGATTTTGTGAGCAAAGTGATTTAAAAAAATAATTTCCTGCAACAAAAGAAATGAAAAAGAAAAGTAATTGTTTTTTTTCTTCCGTAAAATTCTGAGATTTATTTGATTTGCCCTTTTTGGTGTGACTCTTGTTTGCAATTGTTGTTCGCAGTCTCAGGTGTTGTTTGGAAAAAATCACGTGTAAATGGCTCTCTGTTTTCAAAGAGAAACAACAAATTTACATGGAGTTGAAAAATTGGCGCACATTTAAGAGAGTAAACCATTTGCCACACTCTCTCTTTCTCCCTTTTCGTGGCCATTGAATTTCAAACAGAGCACCGCACACAAATCGACAGAGAGGCAGGCGGCTGTTTAACAAACAAGCAAAAATAAAACGAATCCATTTAGTTTTTTGTGTGTTGTGTTTCGAATGAATTTGTGTTGTATTGAATGAAAATTCCATATCAAATAATATTTAATTATTTAGATATTAAAATGTTTTCATTACTAATCTTTAGCCGTTATCAAGTGAAATCATTGTACGCATCACTGTCGCGGTTCTGAAATAGGCAATTTTTGCAGTAAGTTGAGTGTCTGGTAATTTAATTTTTTTTAATGAATAATTTTTTCAATATTAGTTGAATTTGCTAGGGTTGCCAAATGTGTATTTGCTTATGAAACACATGAATCGGGAATGTATGGAATTGATGGGAGGAATTGTGCACCATCTATGTTCAAAAGACAAAAAATTTAATAGAAGAAGCTATGACTAAAAAACGATTAAACCATTTTTAAAAGTGCACAGTTCAATTGCACAAAATTCAATTTTTTCAAATTTTTTCAAAAAATCCAGCAGATTATGAAAGTGGAGCTATGAAAGAACACACGTCTATCGGCGTTTTAAAAGTTTGCAGCGCAAAGTTACTTAAAATGTGCGATGTGCGTCCGTCTGGTTGGCTGGTGCGCACGATAACTCTCGAATGAAGTATCCGATTTGTCCCAAACTTGGTACATCGTAATATTATTGTCAAACTTGGATCGAGTTTGGATATGGAAATATCGATCCACTTCTTCTGGTACCTCCCCGCACAAAATGTCAACATTTTCAAAGAAAATAATTTCTTGCACAGAAAGAGAAAGGATAATTTTATTTTGCTCTAACTTTGCAAACCATAATATTGGTATTAGCGCTAGACCAGGTGCGAAAATGGACAATATCGGGCAACTCCATCCAGTACCTCCCCCACAAACGGTTAACATTTTGAATAATAATAACTCTAATAAAATGTGATGAAAGTGTCCGATTGTCTTCAAATTACACACATCACAATATTTTTATTACCCCAAGATCTGGTGTAAAAATGGGATATGCTACCTCCCCCACAAAGGGTCAAAATTTTGTATATCCATGAAGCTCATAAAACACGAAATTAACATCCAATTTCATTGAAACTTGGTACATCTCAATATTTATATCAATACAAGAGCATTCATTCTGGTACCTCCCCCACAAAGGGTGAAAATTTTGAACAACCGAAACGATCATCAAATCCGAAACAAGCATCAGATTCTCGTCATATTTCACACATCACAATATTTATACCCTACAACACTATGTGTTGGGGGTATTATAAGTTTGATTGGGCCAGAATTTATGTAACACCTCGAAATATTGGTTTCCCATATAGGAAAGTATATATGGATCTTCCTAGCTCGCCGAGCTGAGCCGATCTAGCTATGTATGTCCGTCCGTCCGTCTGTCCGTCTGTCCATGTTAATTTGTAATCACTCTACAGGTCGCAATTATGGGCCGATCCTTACGAAATTTTGCACGAAGGTGGGGTTCGGGTCAGAATAGAAGCCTATTTCTTTTGGAGATGATCGCCAAATGTTTAGGGGTTGAAATGGACCAAATACTGAAAAAATGTTGGATTTTGCAGTAGCTATACAGGTCGCAATTATACACCAATCGACGCGGAATTTCGCATGTAGCTAGAGTTTAGGACAGGAAAGAAGCCTACCGATTTGGGTGGTCATCGGATAATATTTAGCGGGTAAAATAGACCATATCTTTTGTGTTGAAAAAATTCAAAATTTTTCATTAAACCGCGAATATTTTAAATCCCGGCGAAATCACGAAGCCATGACAAGGTTACTTCTGACCTTTACATTGATGTTAACATCCAACAAATCGGATATATAGCAAAATATGTGCGATATATATGTCTATCAAAGAAGATATGCTTGAAAGATCTCTTATATGTCGAGAACGGCTGAACTGATTTCGACAGTTCTCATTAATTCAGAATGGCCTCTTGGCAGGAAAGAAAAAAGGTCTAAAAAAATCGCATAAAAATATCTATCTAAAGATGAAAATATTGATTTTGTAAAATTTTCTCATATTTTTTCAATTTTGTCATATTTTTGACATATTTTCATTTTGAATTAAACATTTGGTAATATTTCTACAGCTAACAAAACTAAGTAGTTAGGATATCAGGATATCATATACAGACCGCATTTATGGCCCGATCCTTACGAAAGTTTGCATGGGTATAAGATGAGGGTCAGAATAGAAGCCTACTCTTTTTGGAGAGGGGTTGAAATGGACCAAAAAACTGCAAAATTGTCAGCAGGTCGTAATTATCGCCCGACCCTCACGCACAGCTTTTGTAGACAAAATACGAAAATGTCCATTCCAGTGACTTTTTGGACAAATACAGGAAAGACGCACTTCTGACTATTTCGTTAACGCTGATTTCGTAGAAGAATATAGTCAAATGTCTGTATCTCATGTAGATGCGTTTCAGTCAAAAACCAATAGTAAATGTTAATCTTTTGCCACTTCTGAAAGATTATAGGTCTTTGGGAAATATTGGTTCCAGATCTAGGAAGACCTTTTACGTGCAACATTTACCAATAATTTGGAAATGAGCAAATAAGTTTAAGTTGCTATTATTCGAAAATTAGAGAACGAAACCTGATGGTTTTCTTTTATTATTTGTCACAATATCTTGTGGAATTCTTTCGATATCTTCAACGGTCGGCCCCGCTCGACTGTAGCCTTTGCTTACTTGTTTTTTATTAGCCCTGGTGTAAAGATAAGATACATCGGTCCACTCCTTCTGGTACCTCCCCCACAAAGTATCAACATTTTGAATACCCATGAAGCTCATAAAACGCGAAATAAAGTCTGATTACATTCAGACTTGGCACATCTCAATATTTCCATCAAAACAAGATCTGTTGTGAAAATTATATACATCTGCCAACCCCTTCTGATAACTCACAAGGATCACAATTATACTTATATCTGTCATAACTTGCGAAACAAGTCGGCGATTGTAAATATTTCCCTTAACCAGAAATCTGATATAAATATGTAATTTATCGGAATTGGAACAATTGGACATAAACGTTCGATTTTCTTCAAATTGTTCATATTTTTATCTGAATTATACGAAATCTGAAAATGGAATACTTCGGTTCGCTATATCTATACGTCACGCATAATTCCACATTTTCCAAAAAATTACACATATCTCATATAAAGCATGGAAAGTAGTCGATATAGTAAAAATCTGGCACGTTGTAATAATTATATCAGTCTTTGGTCAGATACGAATTGGTCAATATTGGCCAACTGCTTGGAAACCTCCTCTATAAACAGTCAACAGTTTGAATAATCATAACTCAAGGCTGGGATACTATTTTAATTATATATTACTGTTAATTTAACACGCATCCAATCCGAGTCGATATCTCCCTTTATACCTCATTTTTAGGGGAATGTTTCAGAGTAAGAATTATTCTAGAACAACATTCATTGTGAGTCTCTGGACAAAGGAAAATTGTTTACTTAATATGAATCAGATTTCAAACTTCTCATAATCAGTCTGAAAGCAGCGACATATCTGCTCCAGTTCTTTTTTGTTAGAAACTTTATACATATTGTTAACTGGGTCTAAACTAACATTCATCTCCTCATTAATTGCAGCAACATTCCGTAAAGAACGCTGAGCGTCCTTTCAAATTACATTCAATGTTAATTCCACGACAAAAACATTCCAATGGCAGTTCCATATCCGTAAAGAAATTCCCAAATTCCAGCATCGAAATAAAACCAATATTTAAGAAAATGCCACAACACAGCCACATCAATCAATTGTTGAGCACAGCTGCCGCAGGAAATGGTGTCATAGGTGATGTGGATGCTCTTCTAACACCAATGGCCAATTCGGGAAAGCAAAGTGTTGACATGGCCAATAGTAGTGGTGGTTCGAACAGCAAAGAACGGGCCGAGCGTAACTTATGGCGTAACGATGAAGTCATGGAAATGCTTGCGGTAATGCAACAAACCAAAGCCTTGGAAAAGCTCAACGACAAGACGGTCAAAAGTGAAAATGTCTTCAAAGATGTGGCAGCAATAATGCATAAAAATGGCTTCATAAAGAAATCCCATGTCCAAATATGGACTAAATGGAAATTTTTAAAAAGCACCTACATGACATCGCGTCGTAATGGTGTAATACCACGGATGATACCACAAGAAGTCTATGAGACAATTCATCTAATGATTACCACATATAATCAGGGAATGAGTGAATGTGGTACATCGACCACTGCCTCGATGGATGGGGATAATTCCAATGCCGGCCATGTTTCAAGGGCCAGTCTTGATGGGCCAGCATCAAAAACAGCTATAACTGAAAGTAATCAAACAGAAAATAATTTTGATATGGCTCATCCCATTTTTGGTTTTAGCTTGGGTCTGGTTAAGGATGAGCCAAGCGATACAGGTAAGGAACCGTAATTTTTATAAATTAAAATCTTATTTTAATTTTACCATCTTTCATTTGCAGGTTATAATGCTGTGGAAAACAACACCACTGATCCGCTGAATGATAAACAAAATATAAACAGCACAAGGGATAAAATACAAATACCCGATAAATCAACAAACATAATTACCGAGAATCAAACGATCAAAACATTAGAAATACCACACAGAGGTCGGGGACGACCACCAAAACCAAAGATTTTACCGGCAGCTACTTCCACACCAAATGCCACCACATTATCACCGTCGACTACAGGTCCACCAAATCTTCAACAACTGCCACCACTGAGAGTAGCTCCTTTTGCTAAAGCTCCCAACACAAGCAATGCTTTGACAGCAAGTCGACCGCCACCACCACTCACAATGCCACCATCTCCGAGGCAGATACAAATTACTAGTATTCCCAATGTGGCCGCTAAAACTCCCAACAACAATAATCCCACAAAGATGGCTATACAGAAGAAAATTTTACCCAAACTATCTTTGGCTCCAAATGAGATACAAACATCTACAGCTACCATACGCTTTTTGAAAGATCTCCAAACAAGTCGTGCTTCATCGTCCTCACCTTCCAACAACTATCCCAAGTTGAAACAAGTGCCAATGCGCAAAACTCCATATTCGTTAAGGCCAGAGAGATTAATACCCGATTTAGATGAATCCTTTTCACCACCTCGTATGGAATTGTCTGAATCCCAGGAAAGATGCCAACGTGAGACGGCAATGGTAAATGGTCAAACTTTGCCAAATGGAGTTTATCGTAAACGTAGACTTGATTGGTCGCAGCAACAACGTAACACGCCCACGAAATTCCGAAAAATTCCTAGTGATGATGAGGAGGATATGCCTGCCATTCAACCGCAACAACTTCCTAACCAAAAAGACGACAGCAGACGCTATGGAAAACATCTACAAAATGTCGTAAGTGACTTGAGCACAAATATGCGTCAGATTCAGAGCCAAATGATGAGAGAATTCTTTGAAAAGCAACATGAATTGTTGCAGAAAGAACATGAATTCCAAGTGCAGCAGGATCGTATGATCATGGAAACGTTTCAATTGCAAACCTACGAAATTGTAAAATCTATCAAAGATTTAATGGGCAGCATAGCGAGTGGTGCCAGGAGAAATGACATGGAAGAACAACATTTAAATTCCAATTCCAATCAAGAACTAATTGAACACGAAGAATTACAAAATTTGGGAGAGAGCCAAGAACAAAATATGCATAATGAGGATGCAAATGATTCCCAAGATGATATGGATCAAGAATTGGAGCACCATGAAAATGAGTTTTCTACCGAAGAGATGGTGCAGGATAATGAGACTGGTGTCGCTTGTCAAGAAAATGATGAGGAAGAAACCCAGGAACCCCAAGATAATGAACTAGAATATGCTGAAAACAACGATGAACAAGATGGTGTTCAAATACAACTGCAACAACACGACGAACAAATGCAACACCAATCTCAATCCGACCAACAAGATATTGAATCACAAAACGTCGTTGTGGAGGATGACGATGATGATGAAGACGACGACGATGATGATGAAGACGACGATGACAGCGATACAGATGATGTGTCATCAACAACTACCGATAATGATGGTGATTCAAGGCATATGATCAATGGCGATCATTCGGCAAATTTAGATCAAATGCTTTCAACCGAACTGACTGAAGAAGATTAAAAGACATCACAAAATTAAGTTAAGAATACTATATTTCACATTCCACGTTTTGAACTACCACACAAAACATTCCACACACACACATACACACAAAAGAAACTGAAATTGCTTTAAAAGCGCTTAGTTAACTACTACTTGTAAATCTGAACCCTAAGACTTTTATTTTGTTACTATTATACTGTGTTTAGATACATACGTAATGTATATATAAATCTCTAAACCAAGATATGAAATTTTGAAAACTAAAAGTATTTTTTCCTCATATACATACATTTGTTTAAAAAAATATACGTATAATGAATAAGTTAAAACAAAGATTTAAACAGAAATCCTTAACTAGAATAACATCAAGATGTTGAAAAAAATACGCTTTGGCCTTAAGGGGCCATTGGCATAGACTATGAAGTATTAATATTTTTAATATGATAAGACTAAATACTACTATTCTTAATAATAAATTAAGATTTAAAGTGTAGATAAGTTATGTCTTTGGAAATAATAAATTAAAAACAATGATTAAACCGTACACGTCAATTTCTATATATTTCATACTTTTTAACAAAAGTTAACCAAGGGAGCCTGGACTTCTACTAAAGTAAACTAAATTTTATGAAACAGTTTCAATTAAAATTAATGTTTACAATGTCATCTAATACAAATTTCAAACTTAATGTTAATTATCAATCTAGCTCAGTCACAGCCTCGACGACTGGGGATAACTCCAATGCTGATTACGTTTCAAGGGCATTGTTGCTGGGTCAGGTAAATGGAGATAGATTTTGATATGAACTATCCCATTTTAATTTCGACTTATGGTGTGAAGATAAGACAAACGATACAGGTAAGACATTTAAATGTTTATACATCAACAATCGTATTTAAAATTTAAACTCTTCATTTGCATGTGTTGATGCCATGTAAAACAACATAGCTGAGCCTGACTCAGAATCATGTTTATCCGAAACACGATGGACTGATGAGACTAAAGCTATAGAACATCAGATGACATGTGGGTAAGATATCCATGTGGGAGGAAAATGCTAAAGGCACAATATGGATGGACCGATGGATCTTAGATGGAAAACGGCATGGGGCGGAAATCTTCGCAAAAGTAAATGTACCAAGATGCAGAGACTCAAAGTCAACTGAACACTTTTCTGAAATATCAGGGTGAGATTGTCATTTCTAAGCTAAGTGACAGCTCATTATATTGTTTGCAAGCGTACAAAAGCATTTTGGTGAGAATTTTCCAGAAAAAAAGTTATTCGTAATGGAATTCAAGCTTGAAAGTGTAATTTCTTTATATTTGGCTGGAAAACCACAAGTGGATATCGTTAGAGCATTCCAGCATCTAAATGTGAATACATCTTTTGTATCTCGTACCATAGTTCGTTACTGGTAGCGTAGCCTGACGTCAAGGAAGTGGACGGAAGAAAACAGCAACATCAGCAGAAATGGTTCGAAAAGTAAAGAAGCGACTTGATCGAAACCCGCGTTGCAGTGGCCGAAAAATAGCTCGTGAGCTGAACATATCGCAATATTCCATACGGCATATATTGAAAAATGAGCTGGGGGTAAAGCCATTGAAATTCCAAAAAGTGCAAGAACTTACACTGCAAGAGAAAGAAAATAGACTCAAAAGAGCTAAAGAGTTGCTTCGCTTGGCCGAAAGTGGTGAACTGCAGAATTTGGTTTTCTCCGATGAGAAAACATTCGCTGTCCAGCAGTTTGTAAACAAACAGAATGATCGTGTTTACTTGCCAAAGAGGTCAGCTGAAAATGTGCACCGTCGGTTGTCCCCCAGAACTCAAGCGCCGGCCATGGTGTTCGCTCGTATTAATCGACCGTGGCATCAGAATAAATGCCGAATATTACCGCGAAAACATTCTGAAGGGTATATTAAACCCTTAGACATTCCAACAGGACTCAGCACCATCGCACTCAGCACGCGCCACCCAAGAATATTTACAAAAAGAGATTCCTCGCTTCATTTCCAGCCCACAATGGCCACCAAAATCTCCGGATACCAATCCGTTGGACTATTGTGTCTGGAGTATTTTGGAAAGCAAGGTTGGCACTAAAGAATGCCAAAGTGTCGATCACCTCAAGCAAGCTCTTCGCCGGGAATGAGCCAAAACACCGCAGAGCAACACGAACCGATATATTCCATTCCGTGAACCGATATATTCCATCTGCACACCAGACCTTGTCCGATTGTCTTCAAATTACACACACATTACCGCATTTTATAAGAGTTATGATCCCCCTTTGTGGGGGAGGTACTTATGAAGTGTATCGATCCTGTCCATTTTCGCACCTGAATTAGCACTGATGCAAATATTAGAATTTAGTTGGAGAAAAATCGTATCTTCCTTTCTCTCTTTCTGTGCAGTAAATTATTTTCTTTGAAAATGTTGCATTTTGTGTGGGATGTACCAGAAGAAGTGGACCAATATTGCCCATCTCCGAACTCGATCTAAGTTTGACAATAATATTATGATGTACCAAGTTTGGATCAAATCGGATACTTCCTCCAAGAGCTCAAGCCAGCCAGCGCGCCAGCCAGAGACACAAATGGACGGACATCGCTAGATTGACTCCAAATGTCCTGAAACGGATTTGGTTCAAAGAAACCTAGGGTCTAAAACCATTTCGATAAGACACGTTTTGGCCGTATCAAATGATATATACCCTCTACAGCCATAAGGCTGAGGGTATAAAGAACGAAAATACTCCCAATTTTTCAAAAAAAAAAAAAAAAATCCCCTAATTATACCCTACACCACAAAGTGGTCAGGGTATTATGTTTTGTGCATTTGTTTGTAACAGGTAAAAGGAAACGAGATAGACCCATAGTTCCTTTTGATGATCTGCATAGAATCACATTCTGAGTCAATTTATGCATGTCCGTCCTTCCATCTGTCCATGTATTTTTGTAAACAAAGTACAGTTCGCATTTATTGCTCTATCCAGATGAAATTTTGCACAGATCATTTGTTTGGCCCATGGACGAACTCTATTGAAATTGGAGATAATCGGTCAAAATTTAGATATAGCTCCCATATATATCTTCGTCCGATTTGCCTTTTATTGTGCACCAAACGTCTAATATTTGTCCAAATGGGATGGAATTTGGCACTTACGACCGAATTGAATCTAGAAGCTAGTATGTCAAATTTGCTGAAGATCGGTTCAAATATAGCTATAGCTCCCATATATATTGTTAATGCGATTTGTTATATTTGTCACCCACAACCGCAATATACACTCCGTAACAACTATATTCAGGGAAATATATCAAATACAGCTCAGAAATATCTATGCCAAATTTTATCGAGATCGGTTCAGATTTGGATATAGCTCCCATATATATCTGTATCCGATTTCAAATTAATTGTGATCCAAATGGGCAATACAAGTCCGAATTTAAAAGATACAAATGCTTCGGCATATTTAGTCCTTTAAACTTTAAATTATAATCAGAGGGTGTATGATTGAATTCTCCCATAAAATTATTTAATTGTTATGTGGAGCTCTACTAAATTAGCAAAGTGGTGTAGGGTATCAAAATGTCGGCCCCGCCCGACTTTAAGACTTTCTTTACTGGTTTTTAAAATATTTTTTTTCTGAATTTTTAAATATTTTATTTTAGAAAAAAACGGTTTCATTGGCCATTTGAAGGCCATAATTCGTGTCAAAAGTGACCAGTTCGAATAAACCAAAACTTATTCTAAAATTTGATGCTATTTCCGACATTGTTTGCTTTCTTTCACCTGTATGTGACCTATAGTTATATCTGAGCCGATTTCCACAAAAATTTGCAGAACTTGTTTCTTAACAAAATTCGGTAGGATGTGGTGAAACACATCCTATTTGGACGAGCATTACACATAGAGCTATATGTAAATTTAGACCGATTCTCGCCAATATCAATAGGGCTCGTCCTTGGGCCAAACAAAGGATTTGTGGAAAATTTCATCTCAACCGGACAAAAAATGCGACCAGTACTTTGTTTACAAAAATATCAAGCATAAATCTACTCAGAATGTTATTCTATGGAGACAAATGCACAAAGGCATAATGGTCTGTACCACAGTCAAAGACCTAAAATGGTAAAGACTAGACAAAACGTATTCTGAGAAAATTGTTTGTGGTCATACTATTTTAAATAACAGCTCTTGTCTGAGGCATGATAATATAAAAAAACACAATTATAGAAAATAATCACAAATGTAAAACAGAGGTATTTACACCTGGTGACAATATTTTGACTCTGCCTTATCCCATCTATATACTTCTATATCTGCCACAGTGTGTCGTAGTTTATGTCTATGTATGTCTATTTATTAAAACACATTTATATTTTATTTCTTTCGCATTTAAAATTAAATCTCAGGTTCACTTTATTATCGTTATTTAAAATTACAGTTTTACATCTTTTTTCATTAAAGATGTTTTTTACAACAAAACAAAATTCTTCTTTTTTGTATATTTTCAAATAATCTTATCTAATTAAGTTTTGCATTTAACATAACATATTCTAGGGTATTGGAATTTGTGACTGTTTTGTTTTTAACTTTTATTCGTCATCATTTTATTTTTTTTTTTCATATTATTCGTGTGTTAAACGCAATCAATTACTAACAATACAATTGTTTTGATTTTAACTAATTTAAACTTAGTGAATGATTTGTTCTGCACTCATTCCATTTTTATCATCCACGCAATGTGCCAGCAAATTATTATATTACTCACATTGATTATGGAGTTGAGATATCAAATTAATTTCAATACATTTTATAATAATCACATTGTGTTTGTTGTTATAGTTATTATTATTTTATTTACAATTTAGTTAAAGCCACTTCGACTATTTAAAACAAATAATTTGAAAATAATGGTTCAAGAAATTAAAAATAAAAATAGGTAAATAATTTGATATGAATCGCTTTGTAATTAGACCAGAAGTTCTGGTCTGATAATACATAAATTTTAAGCTTTCACCTCAAACTTTATGATTGTATCGATTGGGTACAATTGGTCAAATACCCTCAAATATTTGGGAAAAGCCAAATTAGAAGCTTTAGAAAACAAGTTAATAGAAAAATTCCATACTGTGGAATGAAAATCTTAGAGCGAACCTTCTAAATGATTCTCTAGGGGTTTTAAGGTAATATTATACCCGAACACCAATTAACGAAAAAATGATTAGGGTACAAAACAGAGATCAATAAAAATTAATATTTAATGCAATTCTAAATTAAATAAAGACCTACCGAAAAGGCTTCTTAAACTCAGCAAGTGTAAAGATTTAGATTGCATGTCTGGATTCGCAAACAACTTACCTCTAACCAGTATAACAATGATCGTGTTTACAAAATGATAGTGTTTACTTGCCAAAGAGGTCAGCTGAAAATGTGCACCTTAGGTTGGCCACCAGAACTCAAGCGCCGGTCATGGTGATGGTGTGGGCCGCCATAACAGCCGATGGTCGCTCTCCACTCGTATTAATCGACCGTAGCATCATAATAAATACCGGATATTATCGCGAAAATATTCTGGAGGGTATTAAAGCCTTGGGCACGCAAACATTTTGGCCGCAGACATTGGACATTCTAACAGGACTCAGCACACGCCACCCAAGAATGTTTACAAAATGAGGTTCCTCGCTTCATTTCTAGCGCACAGTGACCACCAAAATCTCCGGATACCAATCCGTTGGACTATTGTGTCTGGAGTATTTTGGAAAGTAAGGTTGGCACTAAAAAATAACAAAATGTAGATCACCTTAAGCAAGCGCTTCGCCGGGAATGGGCCAAAATACCGCAGAGCAACATTTGGGCAGCGTGTGACGGTTTCATTGACCGTTTGAAGGCCATAAATCGTGCTAAAGGTGACCAATACGAACAAATCTAAACTTATTCTAAAATTTCATCCTATTTCCGACATTTTTTGCTTTCATTCAATAAAATTTCAAAAAAATGTAAAAATTATAGCGTTTGACGTTGTTGCAGTTTTTTTATCTCACCTTGTAGACCATCTTGCCGGCAATGTCGATATAAAAAACCTGTTCCCTTCTATGAAGTAGCAGGCCTGATATAAGAATCGATATAGGACGTAGGATCACCGCAGAATTGAATATCTTTCCTCAATATGAAATGGCTATGTGAGGATGAAGACGAGGTAGAAACGATTGAACACCTACTATACACATGTCCCATGTTATCAAACAGGAGACATAGGCTATGTTGTAAGTGGGATACAGACAGAAACACTAACATCCTTCTCAGATCATATATCACCTATGAGTTTACGAAATACATCCAATGCAATAAGGAAACAAAAAATAAATAAAAGACCCACGTTTTAATATTCGACACAATACTTGATTTATTATCGATAATATTTTTTGTTTGTTAATTTTTTTACAATTTTTTGTTGTTTACTTTTATATTTACAATAACAAAGAAAAATGTATTAAACATAATAAATGAGTTATGGATTAAATTTACTTAAAAATAAAGAAAATACAAATCTAAAATCATCGACAGTTATATTCAATTCCAATCTAAAGCGGAGTCCATTTTAACGAAATAGAAATGAGTCTCTTCAATTTTTTTATTTAACTATTCTAAACTACAGCAAATCGTCTAGACAAAAAGAAAATATAAATTCTTTAATGGAAATCATATTTGAGTGGTGGTGCAAAAACAAGAAAAGTATTCTAATTGGATGAAAGGACAGTCAATGAATTGGAGGATGTATTAATGCAGCATTACTTTATCCGGTAAGCGAAACGAAATGGTTTTACTCGTCTAATATTCAGTATACAATCGTTCCCATTATCCAAAACGACGCATAGACCTCAGGTAATCGTAAACAACAATAGAACAGCAAGAACAACCAAGCAAAAGTGTAGCTAATACCTTCGGAGGATGGAGTTGCAGAGTTGAACGATCTTGGACCAGCGAATTGGAGCAAAAACATCGAGGAGCGTACGAAAATGGCTCCATTGCGATTAATTCATGTAGAAACGCCATAGAGAAGAGTTGAGGGCTACTGGATGTATGTCACAGTAGTCTTACCTGTTCCGAACTATGGGTGTCTCGTCTAGTGGAATGCGATTGAATCCAGGGCGTTAAAGAGCTCTCTTCAATCTGCATTGAATGTGCTGCTAAATTTCAAGCCACTGGGTATTCCAGCTCAATTTTAAGCAGCAAGGAGTGCACTGAAGCTGGAGGATGGCACTCTTCACAAATCCTGGACGTATAAAAAGTCAGAATATACTAGGTGAAGGTAATACGATTACCTTAACTTCAAGTATATTGACGTTTAGATACCTGATGGGGACTGTTGGCGAATCTCCACTAGACAGACTGGCTTCATATACAGACTGCTCCTCTGCCCTAACACAATGATTTCAAATTCATATAAGCTTAATTACAATTGAAGCGTCTTTTAGGCGGAGATTCTTGCAATCAAGAAGATTACCGAAACCGGTGACTATACATACACCAATACCTTCAGAAAATCTTAAATTTACTGGGCACGCTTATAAGGATTATGTAAAAATCGGGGCCATCTACCATTGGAAAAAAATATAAATATCTGTCAAAATCGCTCAACAGCTATCTTGTTTATTAAAAATGGATATGTTTGCATCAGCATAGAATCTTACAGCAGTAAAGACTAATGCGATCCTTGGATCACACCCATCACCCTACAGGAACCGGTGAAGTTTTACTTGACTACATTCTGGATCACACAGGCATCGATTTTTCGTACGAGTAAATAATTTGATGTGAGCCTACAACAATGCCTAAAGTCTCGCCACAAATAGATGACGATAGAGGTCCGGTTCTAACTATAACACAAAAATCCATTATTAAAGAAACATTGATATGACTCTAAAAAGGATATGACTCTAAGGAACAATTATATAGGATTTGATATCGAAGATCATCGGTTTGCAGATTAAGCGAAAAAAAAAATAGCTACCAACTTCGGTGTCATCAATAAATATACAGGTCATCAATAAAATTATTATTGCCTTCTTTGTGTTAAAAGAATTCTACTACAGATACCTTGCCAAGTACAAACGGTAGACCTCAATCTTCAGATAAGCAACTGGAAGTTAGTGACTTTCGTCCCGAAAATATAAGTCAATTATAAAATTGGGAAGTGTACTCGTTTCCATCTGGGACGTACTTGTTTCCATATCCCTCCAACGTGTTTGAACTTTATTTTGCTCTCGAGATTGCCCTTAAATGTCAAGATTTTCAATGAATTTCAGCCAATTTATTAGAAAGGTCTCCTTAAACTTATTTTCTCCTCCGTTTTCCAGACAAACAAGTCAAACAGAAATGACATGGTATTAAATGTTGAGACCTTTTACAACTCCGAGAATACTTTTCTTGCATTCATTTGCAACTTTACTTCATCAATCCACTCATCCTCTATATAACTCATAAAATAATTTCCTCCCTCATCATTTTTTTGAAAATAAAACAAACGGCTTAAAATATGAACAATAAAATTCATTATCTTCATCTTCTTCCTTTTTTCTTTTCATGGGGTTTCATCACAATACAATTTCACAATCTATGCATATATGTAGTAATATAATAATATTCTATAGTACAATCTTCAATACATGTTCACAATTCGATTTGCAGAATAACAGAAAACCATGTAGTTCTGCTCTGATTCTTATTCATACATATGGGTTGGGTGTAGCTTAATCTTCTAGCATTTTGTTCTTATACTCAGCTTATGCTCTTATCATCATTCGCAAAACAAGGGTATCTTTTAATTTTTACATTATTATTCCATGCCAATCACAACAAAGATATCTTTTTGGACATTTGAACTTGTTAGCATTTTTATTTCATTTTAATTTTAAATTGTTAAATATTTTAGTTTATTTTCTTTCTTTTTTGTTTTGTTTTTATTATAATTATTGTTATGTACATACATATGCGCAATTTTATTTCTAGTGGTGTATAAAAATAAATAAAAACGAAAAAATCTACAATAAAAAATAAAAACACAAACTTACTCAACCGCCCGACGCGTTGCCGGTACCCGGATTTTAGTCCGGCCGATAAATTGGTGTTTTCGGTATAAATTCAATTGAAATAACATATTCCATCATTGAATTTGAATCACATTGTTGTTTGTGCAATCGCCAGTGAAGACCAAGTTTATGATACAAATGACTATTCTCCCACTCAAGTAATTTATCCAATGTTATTTGGGTCTATAGAGAAAAGAGGAGGAGAAGAGTGTGTAAACGTAAGATGAACATATTGCATAAATTGAACAAATCAATTAAGGTGTCAAGTCATGATGTGATGATAGACGCGCTATACTCACTCGTTTACTGAGACATATCACCGGCCATAATGAGCAGCCCAGTGTGCAACAACAACAGACACATCCACAGAACAGCCACTTAACATTGACGGGTAAGGTTTTCTTTAGAATGCCATTTATTCGACCGATTGTGGCTTTGAATTCTTCAGGTGCTACCCGTGACACCAGGCCAGAGGGAAATTCCGTATTGAAGCGGTTGCTCAAACCAAATCTGTAAATGAAAGAATTTAAATGAGAAATGGGTATTATTTTTTAAACCAGGTATAGTAGGATTATATCTTAGTTCCTTGTGATTCTTTTCTAAACCCTTTGATTTCTCAAAGATAGCGGAAAGTGCTTGTAGCCATATTGTAAATCCCATTAAAGTGAAATTGGTATACTAGGTTAATTTCGGACAACGATTATCTGTTTTATTAAAGGAATGAGGTGATTGACCGACCTATGAATGTCCGGTTGAGGGTACGAACAGTTCTAAAAGGTACGAAATTAAAAAAAGATCAATTATGTGATGCTCTGCACCAAATCTGAAAATGGATCCGTTATTCACCAAGCAAATGAATTGGGAAAAGTTCCAATAGGGCAATAAATGCAACCAGTAATTTTGTTACAAATACAAAATGTGATTCTCATAAGGTCACCGAAAGTAAATATAGATCTACTCGAGCCATATCTACACATATCAGTCGAAGATTAAACTAGATCAACCTGTGTCATAGAACAGTGTTGGTAGCTCTTGCCCTATCACAGGCATTTGATACAGTCATATACAGGCGGCTCCACGATACACGAAGGCACTGGTGATGACGTATTCTGCCCTAACCCAATCGTTAAACACTCATATAAGCTTAATGACAATTGCAGCGTTTTTCAGGCGAAGATTCACGTAAGCAAAAAGGCAGCTGAAATGGTCAAGTGCCATAATATCGAGAGCCATTCTTGACTGCAAGAAAATCTTTTTTGAAATACGTGAACTCATTAAGCTTTGTTGGATTCCTGGACAAATCAACATAGTAGGGAAATGAGGTGCCCAGTCAATTGATCTATTGATTAATGAGACTATTAAACCACCAGTAAGCTTTAATGTCAGCTGCTTTAAAAAAATCTCTCACCGAAGAATCGGGAAGAAGATGACACTTAGCGACCGGTTGTAACTTATCTAAAGTCATTTCGCCGGAATTCTCAAGAAGAATAATAAGCTCCTGTCAAGATGGTTTTTATTTAAAAATAAAAGTAATTCTGGGAATAAATACAAAGTTTAAAATGTAATATGCTCTACGCTCCTTAGATGCGTCCGCTCTCGGTCAATGCTCAACGACGACTGACTCATAAACTCATTTTGATAGTTGACAATTCGGCCTCTCCTGACTCTTCGTCCCTCCTGGGCGAACCATCATCAGACTCATCTTTATCTTCGATTTCGAGACTTGGATCACCATAGCACCAGGGCTTCATATGATCGGTCGACATAACACCGCAATATTTCCTTTGCTTCAAACTTAAATCCGGCAGATCCTCTACCAGATAACGATCGTTTCCGATAATTTTCGTGACGATGTATGGTCCTTTATACCGCGCATCCAACTTATGCGATTCTCCTGTAGGCTGCGGTACCGTGTCTATCACCACCAAATCGCCTTCCTTGTACTGAGTTGGCTTGGAATGACGGCTGTCAAATCTTGCTTTCCATTTTTCCTTTTGTTTCTGGATGTTAGCAACAGCCTGCTGTTGAATTACCCTAACATCGAAATTCTCTCTTTCTTCATCACCAACCGCCTGGATAATTCTATTGTAACTGACATCTCTGAGACTAAAGTTGAATATTAAGTCATTTGGACTGAACTTTGTAGTCGCATTCAGCTGCGAGTTAATACTCCACTGTATCGTCGTTGTCTCAGTGTCCCATTCTTTTGTATCACCTACTAGACATTTCAACGCATTCAAAACTGTCTGGTTGATCCGCTCGGCTTGGCCATTGGCTCTTGGTGTTCGGACTGCTGTTTGTACATGTTGTATTCCGTTGTATTCCACAAACTGTTGGAATTCTTTAGACGTGAACGCCGTTCCCTTATCCGATACAATTCTTCGTGGCTGTCCGAAAATCGACATAACTTCTCGCAGCGCTGTTATAACCGGAGCAGTCTTTGTATTCCTGGTTGGCTTTAGCGTCAACCCCTCTTCTCTTATGGCGGTTAGGAACTCTTCTAGTACTTGGAGTCCTTCACTAATCGTCAAGCTCGGGATTATCACCTCATCCACATAACTTATGATGTTTCTCCGATGTTTCAACTTACGTATTATTTGGGTTATCATTTCCTGGAAGACCATCGGTGCATTTGTTAATCCGAAAGGCATTACATTATATTCATATAGACCGTCTGGTGTTATAAACGCCGTGAATTTCTTGGATTCTTCCTTGACGTGTATCTGGTAATATCCTGATGTCATGTCTAACGTTGTAAAATACTTATTTCCAGATAACAACGAAAGTTGTTCTTCAACCACTGGCATCGAGTACTGCTTTTTGATGGTGACTTCATTTAATGCTCGATAATCCGTACACATACGACTTTCACCGTTCGCCTTTTTGACCAACAATACTGATGCTGCATAGGGCGAATCACTTGGGCGAATAATACAACATCGAAGCAACTTGTCAATTATGTCTGACAGAATTTGTCTTTGAGAAAATGGAACTTGGTATCTTTTACCAACTACAGGCTTGTCCGTAGATAAACTTATTTCCATTTGTGTATTTTTACACCTTCCAAGGTCTTCAAGGGTTTCAGCAAAACAGTCCTTGAATGACGACAGTATTTGGTCTAATTTTTCCTTTTGATGCTCATCCAGACTTTCTCCGACATTAAATGTACTTGGCATTCTTGACCTCACCTTCAAGACACCATGCTCAATTGTAAGTTTTGTTTGCTTCTTACACAATACGTCTCTTCCTAAGAGAACGTCATATCGCATCAAGTCATTCGGCACTACATAAATGGTAGTCATTAAACTCTCCTCGTCGATGACAACGTTAGCCTCAAACATTTCCACCACTTCAACAATAGATCCACCAAAACCTTTCATTCTTTTTGACGTTACTTCCATATCGCAACCCTCTGGAACTACAGCTTTCAGCATTAAGGTAAAGTCGCTTCCAGTGTCCACAAAACCTTCATATGTCTTACCATTGACCGTAACATCTTTCATAACCGGTGGGCAGTAATCCTTAGACTCTTCTGTCATTGCTGCCACAGTTGTACCTTTACCTTTGCATTGCGATGCATCGTGACCAATCTTTGCACATTTACTACACTTCGGCTTCTTCAATGGTTGTGGGCAACTAGTTGAGATGTGCCCAAACCTGTTACAATTGAAACATTTTACTCCCTTGGTTGGCGCTCCACCTGAGACACTTGCGGTTTTGTCATCCTCGTCATTCTTTGTTTGCTTCCTTGCATACGTTTGTATGGTCAAATTCTCCAACGACCTTAATAATTCACTACATGTCTGCGGGTTCATAGCTAAAAGTGTTCTTGTTAAGCTGCTATCATTGAGACCATTTATGATGTACGACAGTATTGATGCCTCATCTACGCTTCCTCTTTTCCCTATGGCCAACATTGCGTAATAATATTCCACCAAAGACTCATTCGAGTTTCGTTTCCTAGCTATAAGTTCACGATGAATGTCAGCAACACTTACTCGACTTGGGAAATCCTTTAAAAATTGTTGTCTGAACTCTTTCCATGTTTCAACCACTGGTAAAGCATCTATCCACATTTTAGCAACACCACTCATTTTATGATGAACTGCAAACAAAGTTGTTTCATCTGACCATCCATGAAGCCTTTGCAACGTTTCAACCTTGTCAATGAATTGGACTGATGTAACATTTCCTTTAATTGGATCGAAGTCTGGTATCATTACTATGTAATCCTTTAAACAACCAGATGTTCCGGAACCAGATTGTCTTGATATTACTTCAGCTGGAACTTGCTGTTCTGTATCCCTTGAATTTAACCCTGCATTTGACGTAATAGCCCTTTCTGTTGAAAGTGTTGTTAACTGTTGCACACTTCTTGCTAGAGTCAACATTATATCCTTTAGCTCTCGCATTTGACTTGTTAGAGAATCATCACCCGTCTCAGCTTCATCAAATCCATGGAAATCCTCCTGTGACTCTGAATCTTCAACTTCCACTTCGTCATTTCCATTGCAAGCCATGAGTCTAGCAATTTTCTCGGACTTATTTCCTGTTCGTGGTAAGCTTCTTGCCAGTAATAATTTGTCTAGCTCCGCAACCTTTAACGAACTTATTTTCACCTTCATACTTTTCCTTGTGAATTTTCCTTTTTAATTCGTTACTTCAGCAAATCTAGAACTATTCCTTTTTTTTAGAAGCCGCACGCCCTAAAAATATACGTTAACTTTTCCCTTTTTAAACTTCTTCTTCGGGGTTCCCCTCTTTATGTCTTGCTTTCAATCTCCTTGATGTACTATCGTTGTCCTACTCACTCACACTTTTGAGTATACCTTTGTACATTCTCCTTTGATTGATGCTTTCTCCTTTGCTCTCTTTGAGCACGTTACACACTCTCACTAAACTCACTCGAACTTTTGAGTTTAGCTGGCTTTGCGTGGTTTCTCCTTTGGTCGTCGTTGTTGCTTTGCATTGAGCTCTTCACTACTACATCACTTTGACGCCTTAGTTTCTCAGCTCTTTGAGTATTTTTCTGCAATTCTTATCCAAAATGATGAAATTCCTTGTAGATTTCTGTTCTTATCCCACTTCTGATTCTGTCAAGATGGTTTTTATTTAAAAATAAAAGTAATTCTGGGAATAAATACAAAGTTTAAAATGTAATATGCTCTACGCTCCTTAGATGCGTCCGCTCTCGGTCAATGCTCAACGACGACTGACTCATAAACTCATTTTGATAGTTGACACTCCCTACTATTACTTAGTAGGTCTGATCTAAGAATGGCGAAACTGCAGTATTAGATATCTAACCTCAAGTGGAGATAACAGTGTTGCTAACTATTTTAGACTATATGAAGAAACGATAGAGACACCTATTGTGCAGATGTTCCATGTTATCTTCTCAGATATAGATCATATCATAATTCAAAAAAATTGCGAAAGCTATTTCCTGGCTAAGCAGACCCCCTTCCAATATCTGTACTCCTTTCTATATACCCTTCCTTCGCTTTCTCTTTCTCTGCTATCATCAACAACTTTATTCTTTCTAGGATGAACAGAATGGACCAAAGGTCTCAGAGTGAATATTGGCCGATTCTCGCGTTGGTGCGAATCAAACCAATCAATCACGCCTGTTTGAGGATGTCGAGAAAACTACCCACTAGTCAAGTTTGAAATGTTGGATAAGTCCAAACCCTGTAGTGTGAAACAGGGACTTCCCCAAGGTTTGGTCAATTCTCCGAAACGGTTTAATATATCCTTCTCCGCATCCCTCGCCCTTCAGATGGTATAGATATCGTAACGTCGGGCCCTGTTGTTGTAGTAGTACATGTGTGTGTTTCGCCTTCTCATGTAGATGGTCCACTGGTGTCGTGAGGGGGCACCCTGTCGCAGTTCAGATTGAACCGAAACAACAACATTCCAGTTTCGGTCAGCGGGTACCAACCCAGTATGTATATGTTTGTGTTTGGCTATGTGATGTATAAACAGTAGGGTGGATGATGGAATGTAGTCTATAGTAGTCAGGACCACCAGTGTTATCCCATTTTGAGATCAAATATTTGATACTGCACTAACTAGTCAAACCAATCTGTTAAGTGATAGAAGGGAATAGTTTATTCTTCGATATTACCGACCGGATGTCCGTTTTTCAAGTTCAATATGCTACCATCTTCTTTGGAGAGAGCCTAATTGTAACAGCAGGTATATAACAGTTTCAACAATCTTTAGTTCAGTCGACTAGGAACTACCTCGACCTAAAGCATCAGCCATTTCGTTTTCCATTGTGTTACCGTGGCCCAATAAAGCTTAATAGAGTTTCGTACTTCCAGGAGGGATATACAGGATGAGATAAAAAACTGCATAATTTTTACATTTTTTTTAAATTTTATTGAATGAAAGCAAACAATTTCGGAAATAGCATCAAATTTTAAAATAAGTTTAGATTTGTTCGAATTTGTCACCTTTGGCACGAATTGTGGCCTTCAAACGGCCAATGAAACCGTCACACTCTGTCCGAATGTTGCTCTGCGGTATTTTGGCTCATTCCAGGCGAAGCGCTTGCTTGAGGTGATCGACACTTTGGCTTTTTTTAGTATGAAGACAATTTGCACTTATATTGACACTGTCTAATTCTTATGATTAGAACATAGATGCACAAAACAGTACGTTTTCGGTGATCTCAGTCGTTGATGAGACTTCAACGAATGTAGACATGCGTGGGGGATGCACGGATCCGTTAACATTAAGAAAACAAATTATATATAGCTTTTGTAGAGATTTATAAATATATGAAGTTTATATTTAATATTTTTTAATAATTTTGCTAACACAAAGCACGATTCTTGTTACAAAACTAGAAGGGAGATATTGTTTACGTGCTCTTTAGTTTCTCTCACACACACAAACGCAATGTTCATTTTGTACATCTATGGATCAGAAGAATAAGGAAAATGAATAGCAAATTATCCAGATTCTGAAAGTTCTTTCTCTTATCTTAACCTTCTTTTTCTCCTTCAACTGAAATGATCTTCAACAACCGCTTTTTCTTAACCCCTTCACTCTCATAATAAAACCAATGGACCACCGAATAACGACTTCATCAACATACCAATTTGGCAATACAACTTCCTTCATTTTATTGATAGCCGGTATTTAAAGCATTTTTGGAAATTAGAACGTTTACTTTGCTGGGGAATAGATTTTTCTTTTATTTGGAAATCTCAAATAAATATAGTATTTATTGGGGTTTATTTAAATAAAAATGTATGCTATAGCTGCATCTGAGCCATGTCGAAACAAGCAGCAGAAGCTTAGGCTATCTTTGATCTGTCTTTTTCTACTTTCAATAGGATTCAGACCCATAAAGTCGAATGAAAATATGTTTCATGCATAAATTTACCCAGAATATGATTCTAAACTTACTTTCGCATGCTTAAAACAAAAGCACCAAGACATTCAACTCGGTTATAAATAAAGTTACTTTAAATGCGTTGTAATTAAAAAATGAATACCATTTCTACTCGTTTAGCCCACAATTCAACCACAAATTGACCTCTTTACACTTTTTTTTTTGCTATTGAAATATAACCGTTTCAGCATTTCATTGCATATTATGGAGGAAGCTCAGTACATCTGATACATACGGCTTCTATAATAGATATGTATATGAAGTTACACATACCTATGACACAATCATACTCAATACTTACACTGTCATATTACCAGCACCCCGTATAACAATGGGATCTGGTACTGGCGCCACTGTTTGATCTTCATAGTGCTCCTCCAGTTGATCCTCCTCATATATTGCATCAAAGTCCGCCATTGACATTGGAAATCTTTGTATTGAAAGGATATGCCTCGCTCACAAAGCCAAAGAAAACGATAATGTTGATAACAATAATGATGGATGGTAGTGTTGAAGCAACACTACTGGCGCTGATGGTGATGATGATGACGATGACGAGAACGTCGACAGCCGTACGTCAAACGTCAACACAAAGGGAAAAAAGTAAAATGATAGCAACAACAATAGATATGCAGGTTATTTGCAGTTTTCACTGGATGAAGGACGTAGTAGTATAGACATGGAAGTGGTATTGTTGATTGATTGTATGCTAAGGCTAACTGCTGCAGCTATCACTGCTGTTGGCGCTGCTGCACACTGCCGTTCTTCTTGTTGCTCAGAACAAGTGGAAATGGTTGTTGGTATGGTGTGCCAACCAACAAAACGGATATTACAATAATGTTGCACACACAAACACACTCATACAATTATTGTACAAAAAAACACATTCACTTATTATCACTCTTAAAGTACATATTTTTTGAGGAGGGTGGGAAATAAAATCTATTTCACAAAATAAGGAATACTGGCAAGGGAAGGCTATTAGAATACGTTTTAAATTACACGATGACGTTTGCTGCGTTTTTTTGTTGTTGTTTTTGCTAATACAATAAGGCAACTGGATTATGCATTTCATTCAAAATGAAGAAACTGCATGGTTTTCGTTTATTTTTGCTGCTACTGGTGATAGATGTTGTTGTTGTTTCTGTTGTCGCATTAAACTTTTACAAAAATGGATGTGGATAACAACGACAACATTGCAGAGCTACGAGCCCACAAACACGTTCATTTGACATAGGGGCGCACAAATGAACAATTTTCTTTATTTAGAAAAGATGAACGAGGTCGATACGTCGTCGTTTGCGGTTGACTGGGTGACGGACTGACTATCCGTCTGTCGACTGCTGATGCTGATGTTCACAAATGCAATAGAGGTGGTATTAAGCTCCCAACTGCACAATTGTTTGATGATGTCGTAGTTGTAAGTTTTGTTGCGGTTCTCTTCAATGTTTTTTATTTCTTTTTTATTTACACTTTATTAGCACCTTTTTCGATATTGTTTACACAGTCCAAAAACACCAACAAAAGTACATATTTGAGTTTCTTGTGTGATTTATTTTTGTTTATATTTTAGCAGTTGTTGGCTGAGATAATTTGCTGCTATTTATTTTTTGGGGGCATAGAAAAAAATCTCAAATGAAATTGACATATATCAGCTGTTTTACGAAAACAGACAGCGAGAGAGAGTGGAAAATAAAGGTGGGAAGATAAAAACAAGTGTTATACACTATTGTGAATGATCAATCAGCTTTCAATTAATAAACCGAGGACGGTGAAATTTTATCAGCGCCGTCTTCGGGTAATATGGAAACGTTGGACTTGCTTCTTTGAGGGCATAAAAGACAATTTATTTTTTCCTTTAAATTTCAAAATAGAAATAATAACAAAAATATTGGAAATATGTATAAAAAGACCTATCTGGAATGGATAGATTGTTATAATTAACAGTAAGTTTTTAAGCCAACTTTAGTAAAAACTTTTCGATTTTTTAGAATTTTCTTATGAAGTAGGTACTTTTACCCTGATTCCGGTAAACTATTTTCTTCTTAGGGGACGGGCCCGAGACACCAGATTTTTACCCTTGAAGTGTGTACGGGTCCCTATAAGTGGGCCGACTCTTGAATCCAGACTTTCTGGTCAAAAATCTGGGGTCCCAGGTCCTTCCCGGATTCCTATTATTATAATAAAATAATTATTATAATAAAAATAAAACAATTGAATTTCAAATTAGTTTTACCCGCCATAACGCCGGCAGGGATAAATTGTAAAACAAACGACTTTGTCATCTCATTTCAACGCCGTTTATTTATTCTCTCATTATCATTTTCCACTCTCATTTTATCTGCTTTGCCCCCTTTTTTGTTATTTTCTTGTAAGTTTTGTTTTGAGGTCTCACACAAAGGGTACCACCACACCACACGCAATTGTAGTTGTGTCAAATTGGTTACATGTGTTGCGTAAATATAAATCTCGACGTTTTCTGATTTGTTGTTGTTGTTCAGCTATATTTTCATTTCAATTCAAAACCACAAATGAACACTTTTTCAAAATATATTCTGCAAAACTTTAGTCAATTCAACGAATTCAGATTATTTTCACACCTTTTACGCACATTTTTAAACTTTTTTGTGTAAATGAAACACGACAATTACACAAATATTTTTATTTAACTTTTCTACTTTTTCTCTCGTCGAAAGGACCGAGCCAGACTGCAAATGCAGAAACGCAGGCAACGGCGTCAATGAAAATGCAAGGACGGCGTTATAACAAAGTCGTTTTTCTGTTTTGTGGCTAACGGCGTTCGTATCTTTAAGAAATAACGGTATTATGGATTATAAAAAGTTGTGATTAATTTGCCAAACGATTATTGGAAATAAAAGAAATCAACACAGTTTTTTTTAGAAATTGCCACATTGCCTGATCATTGTAATATATGGGCGTTGAGGTTCTGTAAATTTATTTCCTGACAATTTGGAACCATCATTATTATCAGGAAGAGGGAATAAGAGATAACACCACTCAAGACAAAAATGAACATATAAGTCAAGTTATTTACAAGAATTTATCTGTTTCAGATCCTAAAAAATCCGTTATTGTGGCCTTCTCTTTTGGTACTTTTATCCTTCATCAAAAAATGGAGGGTCTATTGAATTTGTCTTTCTGTTTGCAACTTTTCAAGATATTCGTCGGGGAAAAATTAAAAGTAAAAATAAACAATAGTTTATATTGACTTTAGGATGATTTGTGTTAGTATGATATTACAGGTTCTCATTAGGTAGAATTTTTTCTTGCCTCGTGGTGTTCGATACAGACGACGTGTTTCTGATAATCATTACAGAAGTTCAGAAAAACAATCTCAGAAAGTTGAATAAACAGAAATCGTCCTTTTTCATGGATATGAAAACTGCTATCCTTTCACTACCGGCACTTTATATATGTATATAAAATATTGATTGTGAAAATCCATATTCTATGATCGCTCTTTTATTTTGTGGAATTTTGTTCGCAATTTTTTTTTAAATTCTCCCTTTTCTTACATTTAGGATACGTATTTTTTTAACGAAACTTCGTTTAACATAATGCAAAAGGGAAGATGTCAGAAAATACCCACATATTTTAGGAAGAAACTCTAATTATTTACTCATTTACAAGTACCAAGTATATGTTTCTTATTAAAAAAAAAAAACAAGTGAAAAAGCTGTAAGGTCGGCCGGGCCGAACTTTGAATACCCTCCACCATTTGGAACGAATTTGGCAATTTCCAAAAAAAAAAAAAAAAAAAATAAATAAATAAATAAATAAAATCCGTTAAAAATTCTGTCAAAATCTTAAAAATACCCAATGTAGCCATTATATTCGGTGAATAATGTGGCTAAAATCATTAAAATATTGAATATAGGTGGATACTATTATATGGGGCTACACCAAAACGTGGACCTACATAGACAATTTCTAGTCTTAGGCTGAATATCGGGAGGTACTACTATATGGGGCTGTACCAAATCGTGGACCTGCACAGATAATTTTCTGTCATAGGCTGTAGTATCCATTACGAACTTCAAATACCAAATTTGAAACAATTCCGATGAATAATGTCGCTAAAATCATCAAAATACCAAATACAGGGTGGTACCATTATATGGGGGCCATACCAAAACGTGGACCTACAAGGCCCATTTACAATACCAAAAGTCCTGCAGACACAATATTTGACATTTGAGTAAAATTTTATCAACCTACTACATTTCGTTCGGAAGCTACAGTGATTTCCACAGACGGATAGACGGACGGACATCGCTAAATAGACAAAGCATTTTATTCTGGTCAAGAATATATGTATATACTTTGTGGGGTCTAAAATGTATATTTCAAGGAGTTACAAACGGAATGACAAACTTAATATACCCTCCATACTATGGTGGAGGGTATAATACACAACTTTAAATTAGTCGTGCTTGACCTTATTATTTTATTTATTTATTTATTATTATTATTTTTTTTTTTTTTCTTAAACATCATTAGTCTTCTTTTAATATCAACGAAGACAAACAAACCTTCAAACTCTCCAAAGAGATGTCAATCATGATTAATGATGAGCAATTTCAGATCTCTCTCCCTCTCATCGCATAATGTTTTGACAGCTCTCATACAATTCCATCACAGAAATCATATGTTCATTCCTTATTACCTTGTTATCCTCTTCCTTATTTAGTTTTATTTCATGTATACAATGTACTATTTAATTATCATCCTGTTATATCTAAGCTGTGTCAGCATGAAATCTGTCTGGGCCGAATACTGTACACAGCTTACAACAAAGTCGCTGGCAAAAATACTGGGACAAGCATTCAATCCCCGGTACATGAGTATTGATCCACCATTTCTCAATCAGGACAGTGATGCAAAACGATCCTCTTATGAAATTCCGTTTTATGCCGACAATGATGTGGTGTCTGTTGGAGATTTCCCCGCCTGGGAGACGGATCACATCAATTACTATGAAGAGAAGAAAGCCATCAACGATAAAAAAGTGATACGAGTACGGAATATTTTCACCCAGAAAAGTACAAAAGATCCGCAAGCCTCAAAGACGCGTCCATGGGAATGTGCCTCAAAGCTAACATGGCTAGATTTGGGCATAAATTATTTCCCACGTTACATCAGATCGGTGGAATGTATTTCGAATTCTTGCTGGTATGGTCATTACAATTGTAAGCCAAAATCATTTACTATAAAAGTGTTGCGGCGGAAACATGGTTCCTGTATACGCGTCAATGAAAAATTGCTGCTATTAACTTCGGAGCAATTTCCATCCGACTACACGGAACTATGGGTATGGGAAGAAATTTCGGTTAATTTTTGTTGTGATTGTGTTACGGCACCGGATTGATTTTGGATAGGCTCAAATTCTTTTAAAATACAAATTATTTGTAAAAATGTGTATAAGAAATAAACTATTGTTTTAATTTAAATGTTCAAAGTTTGTAATTTTCTTGTCGAATATAAATTTAAAAAAACGAAAAAACATCATCTGGATATGTATGTAATTGCACCGCATTGCGAGTCCAATAATATGTAAGCTTAAATTATGATCTTTATAATATTTCCAGTTGAGAATTGTTATTTTCCTACACCAAAATGACATTTTTACATTTTTTTAATATTCGTTTCCTTTGGTAACAAAAAAAAAGGTTTTTTTTAAAGCCCTCCACCTTTGGGTAAAGAAAACATTTTTATATAAAAGTATCTGAATTCAAGCTTTAAACTTCAAATACCAGTAAGACCATATGGATAATGCTTTGAAAAACAAAAAAGTGGGTGAGGCCGTTGTATGGGCGCCATACAAAAGCGGGAACATCCACAGACAATTTGATACTTCAAGGATTGTCATCTACCAAACCTTCTTAAATACTAAATTTGAAACAATTTCGTGGAAACAATGCTTAGGATTATTAAAATACCGGGTATCGATGGGTATCGTTATATGTGCGCTATAAGAAAACGTGGACCTAAATACTCAATGTTCTGCCGCGGGAGCTCATTATGATTGTGGCAAAAATCATCAAAATACCGAATATCGGGAGGTAATGATATATGGGGCCTATGCAAAAACGTGGACCTATACATACAATGTTTCGCCATCGGAGCTAGAAACCATTATGACCAACAAATACACATTTTTAGACAAATCCGTGGAAAAATGCAGCAAAAATCATCAAAATATCGAATATCGACACAATACAAATTATTCTGCCAAATTTTGAAGTTCTACGTCAAATAATGTGGGATAATCGTGATTTCAACAGACAGACGGGCAGACTGATAGACAGGCTGACAGACATCGTTAAATCGACTTAGAACTTTATGCTGATTATGAATATATACTTTATGGGGTCTACGACGAATAATTAGGGATGTTATAAACGGAATGACACAATTAATATACCCTCCTTTTCAAGGTGTAGGTATAATACCGATATTATATAGGCCGTAATGTCCCCGTAATAAAAATATCACAATGACTGTTATTCCTTTAATGGAAAAATTTAGTATGTAGTTCAGAATGATTAAATGGACTAACATTGGGGCTAACTATTGTGCATAACATGAAACCTACCCATTATGATTTGGCCCATAACTCTACCTCGTTAATTGATTTTTGCCTTACTAGTGATAATTTGTCCTTGGGTTTCTCGTCTCAGGGTCGATGTCCTGGTATATCACACCATGCCTTTGTTTTTGGTTCGCTTAACCTGCCTGTATTTTCAGAGGAGAGATTTATTGAGTATCGTAACTTTGGCCGAGCGGATTGGTTGGGCATTTTAAATTTCATATCCGATTTTGACTTCAACCCCTTATATTCCACTTCTGATGTGAATTGTCAACTTTCACTATTTGATTTGTTGTTTAACGCGCTATTGTCTTTCGTTCCTGTTTCTGTTCGTAAGGTCAACCCCAGGAATGATACATGGTTGGAATCTGATGTGGTAAAATCGGCACGGATGTTTAGAGATCTTGCGTACTTTGAGTGGCGCAAGCGACCTATGGAGGGTAATAGAATAATATATTGTATGTATAGGAATCGTTGTAAGGCTGTGATGAGGAATGAGAGGCGTAAGTACTATAATGATCTCTTTGGTCGTATGAATAATAATCAGCTGTGGAAATCTCTAAAGTCGTTTGGTGTTTTGGGTAGTGATAATGAAGCTCCACCAATTGATGTCAATGCTGCTAATCATTATTTTTCCAGTGGGAATCCTGGTTTTGTGGGTGAGCGTGGTCAGTCTCTTTATAGTGAGGGTCATGTGGGAGATGATGTTTTTCGGTTTTATTGCATATTTTATTCTGATGTTGTAAGGTCATTAAATAAAGTTAAGTCGGGAGCTGTGGGGGTTGATGGCGTGCCAGTAAAGTTTTTTAAACTTATATTTCCATACATTTCCTGTCATTTCCTGCATTTTGTTAACTCGATTTTTATGACATCTACTTTTCCTCGGGCGTGGAAGGTTGCACGAATTGTTCCTGTGCCGAAAACTGGTGAATCATTTGATTTGCCGAATCTGCGTCCCATTAGCATTCTACCTGCTATGTCAAAAATCGTTGAGCATATTATTAAAGAAGCGATTGTTGACTTCCTTGATGATCGTAGGCTATTGAGTAGTTCTCAGTTTGGTTTTCGGCGACGATGTAGTACGACCACGCACTTATTATATCTTACTGACATGATCAGAGATGTATTTAATTCATCTGATGTTGGGTTATTATTGGGCCTCGACTTGTCAAAGGCTTTTGATTTGATAAACCATTCCCTTTTACTTGACAAGCTGAGGTTTAAGTTTGGTTTTTCATCTTCTGCGTGTCGTTTAATGGCTTCATATTTGGAAGGTAGGTCTCAGTTTGTTGTTCATTTGGGTGTTTCGTCTGAAGTTTGTAGTGTCCAATGTGGAATCCCGCAAGGTTCTGTACTGGGACCGTTGTTATTTATTATGTTCATTAATGACATTGTGCACTCAGTTGTTGATGACAGGTGTTGTCTGTTTTTGTATGCAGATGATATTCATGTTTTCTTCAGAGAGGCTGATATTGCTGGGTTGGAAGGGTTGGTTAATTCTATTGTTTTGTCTCTTTCGTCGTGGATTTCGCTAAATGGCCTTATGATTAATTGGAATAAAACTAAAGCTATGCTGTTCAATGATCATGGTAATGGTGGTTCTCTTAATATTACTGTGGGTTCTGTGTTAGTAAAATTTGTTGATGAAATGAAATGTCTTGGTGTTATAATTGATCGGAAGTTGGACTTTAAGAGACACATTGATTCCTTGCTTTGTCGTATAAGGTTTCAGCTGCGGAGGCTGTATTGTCTTAATGCTTATTTGCCTTGTCGTGTTAGGAAGAGAGTGGTTGTACCCTTGCTGCTATCGCAGGTAAATTATTGTCTAGAGGTAGTCTCCGGTACTACTTCTTCTCAAATGCAACGTATCCGTAGGGCGGTAAATTCGATTGTTCGTTATGTGTATGGCTTGCGTCGTGGTGATCATGTTTCTTGTTTTGTTAATGATCTCCTGGGATTGCCATTTAGCAGCTACGTTGATCTTCGTATTCTTCAATTTCATTACAGTGTTATGTGCAATTTTGACTCGCCTCTTCGTGACAACTTTGTGTTTTGTAGATCATCTCGAAATCCTCAATTGTTGTGTCCAAGGTTTTCGTCCTCCATTGGTGAGAGATCATTTGTGGTTAGGGCGGTGAGATTGTGGAATCAGCTTCCTTTGGCCTTACGTACTTTTGCCCATACCAATTATCTGTTTAGGGTTAAAGTAATTGAATACCTTCGCCTAAATATGTAGGCTATGTTTTTGTAGTGGTTGCGTCGGTTTATTATGGGTCTTTCTTTTTGCTTTTCTTTTTGTTTGGGCTGGGGAGCCACTATATTATCTTCTTAATTTTATTTGTAGGGTATAATGTGAGTTACTATTTATACTCTGTTTTGTGAGTAATAAAATAGTTATCTCTTATTTTTAGCTCGTTTCTGCTACACTTTTTCACTGCTCTACTAGACTATTGTTTAGTTGGTGATGGTGAATCGAGGTGTAGGGTTCGAGCTTCTCGTGAATTATTAAGATAAATTATTAGGTTTAATATGTTATTTGTTAAGTTTGAATTAATCATTGAATTTGTATTATGTTAGGGTATTGTAGATAGATAATATAAGTTATGGGCCCTGTGGGCTTATTTATATTTCTTTGTAAGGTAAATAAATGAAATGAAATGAAATGAAAGTTTAGTCCGGTTGGCTATGTATTTTCATTAAAATGTTGTTAATTTTTGTAAATTATAAAACCAGGTGATTTTTATATATAAAAAATAGCAATTTAATTTTGAAGTCGATTCAGAGTCATTTAAAAAATGGATGCGGGCATTGGTCAAGAATAGCTCGATTTCGCAAAACTGCCGCACCTGGTCAATCCGCTACAGTAGATTTATGGCAGAGCCTAAGAAAATGGCCGAATTCAATCATTCGACACACCTTTAATCGCAGTGTTTCGTAAAATATAGTAAAAAGAAATTATGAATTGTTGCTTTGTTTTTTGTTTGTTTTACTTTTTGTTTTTATTTATTTAACTGAGAGTACATTGAAATGTTACATTTGTTTTTACTTTGTTTTGTTTTTATAATAGGTAGTTATATTATTATGTACTTATTATAAATATTGTTATAATTTATTTTTGGTATTTCTTTTGTTTGTTTTTGTTTTCATATAAAGTACAATCAAATCTATGTCTGTTTGTTGTTGTTGCGTTTTTTATTTTGTTTTCACGTTTCACTATAATAGTTGATTTTAGTTTTCATTTTTTGTTCTTGTTGTTGTTGTTGTTTTTTGAATATAATTTTTATTGCGATTAAATTTTGTTGTTTGTTCTTCTCTTCTTCTTCTTCTTGTTTATTAATTTTATTTGGTATCTTTGTTCTTTTATATTTTTCTTTTAATTTGTTTTGGTTTTATTTTTGTTATTTCTTGTATGAAATGCTTTCATTTGTTTTGTTTTATTTTACTTTATTTGTTTCTTGTTGTTTTAAATACAAATTTTTGTTTCTTGAAATATATTAATTTTGTTAATTATAATATCTTTGTTTTTTAATACTTTTTTCATGTGAGAAGTTTTGTTTCTTTTTCCTCATGATAATCATTCATCATCATCATCAACATCTCCATCATATATGTTTGTATTTACTATTTGTTGGTTTGTTGTTTCTTTGTTAAACTAGTTGTATTTTATTTATTTGTAATTTGTTTTGTTAATTTTTCTTTGCTAAAAACTTTTGTTGCTTATACATTTTTGTTTTTATTTTGTTCAAATATTTTTTTGTTACTTTTTGGTGGGTTTGAGTTTAACAATAATAATAATAAATTAAAATTAAATTCTCTATAAATTAAATGATTTTTTATTGGTTTTAGTTTTAATGAAAAACA